TTATTATTATTATTATTATTATTATTATTATTATTATTATTATTTTGGGAGGAAAGTATGAATACCATTCTAATGTATATGTATTATCACTTAATGGGTATTAATTATGCCTTTGTAGTCCTGAAGGCCTCTGCTGCTTTTTACAGTTAAGAACTTCAAACTGGAAGTAACACTTAGCCATCCATTACATGCTTTTGAGTGAACTCAGGATATTAACCTCCTCTAAGGCAAGAAGACCTAGAGGGCAATAATTATTGCAGATGAATATGAAAATACAAAATCACAGTGCTGAACATATGTGTATGTGTATAAGATGAATATAGCATTTCATATACATGTGCACACATGAGAATGCATGTAGAAGAAAAGAAATCAATATATCGTTCAGGGCACAGTCCTACTCCCTCAATTTTAGCATTAAGTTCATTTGTTTTATTAGGCTGTCTTATTTCCCAGACAGTCATGTGTAGGATTGTACTATATTCCTCTGTTTTATCATTGCCACAACCAGTATCTGATTCATGTGAAGAAATACGGAAGAAGCAACTTTTTAGCTCTGTAGTGAAACATCTTCATAATCTTTATAAAGAGGAGAGATAGTCTGATCAGCAAATGCTCCTCCTCTTAACTGTTTTTCTCCTATGTGCCAAATTCTATCAAGAGAGCTCTGAAGATAATTAAAAGAAATCTTCAGTCTTATACTATCTCTCTGAGTGTTTGCACGTGTGAAAAATACTGTTCTTTATTAAACAGCCTGACAGCATAACATACAAAAGGGAGAAATAAATACATGTGGCTTTCAAATATTTCTCCAATGCAACAAGCAGGGGGCGGATTTCTCTCCTAATCTCTTTTTTTCTGCTTGTACCACTTCCCACTTCAAAAAGGGTAATACAAAAACCTGAAATCAGGATTTGGACATATTCTTCAGGGGGAACTCTTTGCAGCTGTCAGATTTTATTTTATTTTATTTTTTCAGATTGAGCATACACTTCCCCTATTTCCAATTCTCCTTTTGCCACCCTACCTATTCACTGGAAACATTCAGGTGATACGAGCAAAATGTGAAACAGTATATTGGGGGCGGGGGGGATAGCTTCAATTAATTATTTAAAAATGGATTACCTTTTAATTCTACTCAGGAATAGAAGCCAGGGCAACCAGGTAGGAAAGATATTTCTCCAACCTCCCTGGAGTCTAGCCAACTGTTTAGCTTCCTCCCTTGCCAGGAATTGGATGATGTGAGACCGTATTCAGGCAGGGTCATTTCTCTGCAGATTTCCTTCTTGTTGCAGCCCCAGACATATGCAACACCATTAACAGTAATAACTGCCTTGCTACAAGCATTGCCTAACTACTATCAGTAAATAATTACAGCAGGATTCCTACTCCCTTTAATAATGTTCTTTGCCAAGCCTTCTGCTCTCTGGAACTAGTCGTTTTAGGATCACCACTATGTGCTATCAGCCAAGTTAACATCCTGCTAGCCATAAACACAAACACGGCTCTGCTGGATTTCCCAGAGAGATTGCAGGGCATTTCATCCTCCCTAAACCAAACATACTGAATGCACGTTTGATGCCAATTTCCTTCCGGGCATTGATCAAGAGTTGTAGATGCAGGCAGCACTAGCAGCTTCAAGCCAGTGTGCCCAAAACACTGCCCCCTCATCTGAAATACCCCAGATCAACCTATCCTTTCCCACACGGAGAATAGCGCTGTCAGCCATTCCCCATAGAGGCGCCTGCAGCAAATGATGATGCCTTCCAGCCTCAAGGGTCCAATAACCTGATGGCACCTTACCTGTTGACTGCATGCTCTCTTGGATCGCCTCGACTTCAGACAGCTCCATGCACACACCCTGGCCGTGCATGAGCGTGTGCAAGGGCTTTTCCATTCCCCGTGGTGGATAGCACCGCAGCCCTGAACCGCAGCGAGATGTGTATACCCCACAGAGCATCCCTTTGGCTAAGGCGCACGTGGCACAACATCCACAGCCTGGTTCCTGCACCAGCTCCTCACATCCAGAGGGTGCCCTGCAGCGTGCCAGCTTCTCCTCAGAGCATGGGGGGCATTGGATAGCCTCAAGGCTCACAGAAAAGCCCACCTGGGCTAGAAGCAGCAGGGTGACAGACACCCCCCGGGAGGGCATGGTAGGCAGGCCGCGGTCCTGGAGAGTGAAGGGCCAACAAGCAAAGGCTGCGAAGAACAGTCTTGCTGGCAGAGCAGACTGCCTGATCTCCAGCGAGGGGGACTCTGTACTGAAGGGGGGAGAAGCTCATTCTTTGGACTTTATACCACTCTCTGGCCACACCCCCCTGCTCTAGGGAGAAGCGGAGAAGGAACAGCACAGCAGCCACATAACTGAGGCAGCTTGCCCCACAGCCGAGAAAAGACCTTATTTGCCCTGAGGAAGGAAGCACAAAGAGCTTGCTGCAGCTGCAAAGACTAAAACCTGTGCTAGGAATGGAAAACAGCAACAGCAGCAGCCCTCCAGCCATGCTTCTCCTGTTACTTTGGTAAATTATGATGAGGGCACTTCCCCAATGCCTGATAGGTTTCTCACAAGCTCTTTTGTTATATTTAGAGCATATGGTATAAAAAGCTCAACTCGTCCAGCGCTCTGCTTCTCAGCCAACCTACAAAGTGAGTTCATCCTCTGTTCCCTTCAGCAATAGACAGCTGAGATATACTGCCTTTGACTGTGGAAGTTCCAGTTTAATTACTAGGCTACACGTTGTCTAAAGTTCTTTTTCATAAACCTAGGTTGATGGCCACTACCTGTTTTTGCAGCAAATGCATTTCTTTTGGGGCTCTCTGGAAGTAAGGGAAATACACATTTCTCTCATCCTTTGGTTTTCCTTGCTTGAGCAGAAAGTCACACACCCTAATGTAAGTTTTTGGAATACGTTCAAAAATGTGTCTGGAACTTCTCCACATTCCTTGGAGAAAGATGCACAGGTTCCCTCTACTGTATAGGCATTCCAAGAGAGGAGAAAAAAGGTGGACAGATCTACCATGTGTATGCCACAACATCTAAACATGCCTGGGATGGACGCTGAAGAAATATTCCCTTTGGTTTGTCTCCCACCTCACTGGTTGAGAACTGATTCTAGTGGAGAAAACAGTCACTCTCACCATTGTTTCCTTTGTTTTGTAAGCCCCAAAATGCCAAGTCTTCCCCAGCTGAGTCCCCTCCATTGGCCATTTTGGCTGAAAATTCCAGGAATGGTCATTGCAACACCTCTGAAGGGCACCAGATTTGGGAAAGCAGGATTACCACCTGATAATATTTTGGCTGAGTTCAGACATCACATTAAGCCATGGTTTGTTTAACTAGGTTCTAGCGACTAAATCACATTTAGCAGGTTTTAGACAAGTCACTAAGGAGCACCAATGTGTTTGCAATCATCTGCCTTGGCATTGACTAGCAACCTGCCCCACCTCAATTCTTACATTAATTTTTTTTAATTAAAAAAATGGGAAGCTGGCATGCTGCAAAGCAAAATGCTTACTACCAGTATTGTTTTATTTCCAAGAATGTCTCTGGGTCCTAAATGGCCCCCATAAGCTTGCTTAGAGGTGGCTTCAAATCAGTTCTTTGTTAGAAAGTATGCCAACCTCCACAACCACAGTGCAACTATGTAATGATATGGCCTGTTTTGTAGCTGATTACAAATTCCCCATGGGGACCATTCTATCAATGGGGGAGCCTCCCCAGTAGCTTTTTTGAAAGATGACCTTAAAATTCCAGATGCATTCACCAGCCCCCAGAGTTGGACACCTTTGCATTAAGCCATAAATCATAGCTTACAAACCACATCATGCTAAGCCACAAGCAAGCAACCATATTATGACTTAGTATGACCTGTGAATCCAGCCCTTTTCAGCTTGAAATTCTGGGAGGAGAGGCCTGAAAGCTGGGAACACCTTTCAAGCTCATAGTTATCCTGCACGGTTCTAAAGGCATGATTTGGCCTTTAGAGGATGGAAGAATATTTCCTATTAATAAGATGCCCACCTGAACATTCTCTCTGGGTGCTGGGTATCAATTTTAGATTGATTTTGGTTACCTGGTATTAGAAAGGCACCCTGAATATCTTCAAGAGCACCCTTATCATTAATTCTTCGCTTGTTCCAGAAGTTGGTTTTGGCACTGAAGATAAATTCCAGAATAAAGCTCTGTGAAACTTCATAATATTTTTGTTCGGGACAAGAAGATCAAAAGGAGGACACAACTTCATTCTTCACTATAAAATATTGTGTGAAAGAGGGGGAGAGGGAATGCCATTAATTATAGCTTGCTGAACAATCCTGTTGAAATTTCTTTTCCTACACTACTACTAAAGAGACAGGACAAAGCCCTATCTTTTCAATCTTTCTTTCTTTCTTTTTTTCTTTTTTTTTAGCATGTGAGCCTTTTGCTGAAATCTCCAGCCTGATATAGATATCTTTGACATTCAAAAGTTTGCACATTTACATTTCACCTCATTCGGCTTCTTGCCTACTTTGGACCTTTCAAATCTTGGAGACAAAAATCCAGATGGCCACTAGAAGGCAGGAAAGAATACAAATATTCTTATTCTTTGCCACCATCTAGTGACTTTCTGGATTTTTGCAGCCTGCATGTGGTAGGTCTAGTCTAGTTCAACCAATATACATTTAAACATGATGATCCTTTGCATGCATGTTTATTTGAAATACAGTAAATGTTATTGTCATCCAAAGGGGCTTGGGTCCCACCAAATATCTATACTTCCCTCCATAAATGAAAAAAGTCCTAAACCAAAATATAAGAAACTCAACTTATCCTCACATCACTAATGATAACCTGGATTTTAAATGCTTCAGAACTGGAGGGGCAATCAATAATAGCAATGTAGGAAGGTTAAAGTGGACCCACACCATTGCTATGCCATTTGTTTCTTTATAGTTTATTTTGTGTGAACCTGGCCAAGCCCACACAAAAACCCAGGTATAGGCTTAGTATGGCTTGTGAATTCTACATGAGTCTGGCATTGATCAGAATGTTATTTGCACCACAACTAATTCTAATTTACTTTAAACTTATTTATGGCCCATAAAGTTCAATGCCAGTTCTAGCATGTGACCTTGGCCTGCCTTTGCTGCTGCTTCAGACCTGGGACATGACCTGCTGGGCTACAGGAGTGAAACAGGATTACCTGGACAATCACAATCACCAGTCATAGGCTTTTGTTAGGAGAACTATTTCACCCAAATCAGGTTGGTAGTTCTGGGCTGCCTGACCACTCTATCAACATAGTGCACTTGCACATACATGTGCAATATGAGTATAGTATATAGAATGATTCCCAAGTGCAGGGAATGAAATGGATGGATGGATGGATGGATGGATGGATGGATGGATGGATGGATGGATGATGAATGAATGAATGAATGAATGAATGAATGAATGAATGAATGAATGACAGAAAGAAGATCATAAATGGGGGTTGGGGGGAGATGATTTGGGATCTTTGGTTATGTTTGTACTTTTGTGGGATTTCCCAGAGATTGGTAGGTGCAAAATAGTTTGTGTGGTACAGAATAACTAAGTCCCCCACAACACGCTAAACTAGACATTACCCAGCTCTATTATGTTACAGAAACCCATCTAATCCATATGTGGGAGCATAACCCAGATTCTTCTTCTTCTGGATGTCTCTGAGCCACCTAAGTCCACAAATGCCTCAAACTCAAACTCCAAGAGGGCTGGACACCCACTGCAAAAAAACCTGCTGGGCTTGTCCACGGAATAGGGCTGCCTCTGGTTCTCATCCTGTTCCAGGGAGGCTGGCAGGGTGAGGCTTTCCTTGTTCCAAATTAAGAGGGATCAAAGTGTGGTTTTCCCACTCTGGACATAATATGACAAGCCAGCGTGTGGCTCTGTTCATTGGTATTAAAAAGAGTGGGTAAGGGAAGATGGAAATGGCTTAGTCTAATTAAACTGAATAACCATGCACAAATGCCTTGTACCAAAGTGTGTTTACATATCTAGCAGTGCAGATCTTCTAAATTAGAACATGTATTTTTCACGATACCATGATCTCCAGATGCTGTAAATATTTCAGGGGAGGGAGGGAATCCAAAATGCTTTACAATTTACAAACACAAAAAGGCTTGAAAAATGGGAGAAATTGCCCCCCACCAACAACATACATGAAATCCTGTTATGAAGGAGAGGGTCTGAAAAGGAAAAAATACCTTACAAATCTTACAAATATGCTGTTCAAAGCTGCTACTGTTTCAGGGTCTGCCTTAGCCAGTGTGCTTGAAGGTAAGAACATTAAGGAATAGGATCTCCATGCAACATGGGGAAAAGATGCAAGTTAAATTGTTTTCTTCCCCAGCCCATGGCTGGACACTTTAGAGCAGCATCCCCAGCCCAATGTCATCCTTGGCAGTTTGAAGATGTGTGGACTTCAACTCCCAGAATTCCCCAGCCAGCATGGCTGGCTGGAGAATTCTGGGAGTTGAAATCCACACCTCTTAAAGCGGCCACGGTTGAGAATGTTTTCCAGATAAGGTGAAGTACAATTCCCAGAATTCTTAGTAAGCAGGAAAAATTATTTCAAGTAAATGGACAGCTTTGCACTGAAGCTAACCTCCAACCCAATGGAGTTTCTGCCCTGGATCCAATGTGGGCTATACCATATCTTCCTCACACACATTGTTGTTGTTGTTTCAGAAGCTGGCAACTCTATTGTACCAATTTAAGATTTTGTAGAAAGGAGGATGAAATATCATTGTTCTTCTAAATGTTGAAGAAACTTTTGCCTTGTATTTAAGACTGATTTTATTTATGTATTTATTTATTATTAAATTTATATGCCACCCATCTCCCCCAGATTTATTTATCTGCCCTGTCCTTGAGTTTTTCTTTATCTGCTTTATCTGTTTCATGTAAATCATCCCTAATCCATCCTAGTACCATCATGCCTTTCCACTGTGTTGTCATCAGCAGCTCCAACTTCCAAATGCTAGCAACCTGATTTTTCATTGATAGAGTTTCATCCATACTGGTTGACTGAGAAATATCCCCAACCCTCTGAAAGCCGTTACATTCTCATTGCCCCACTTTCTCTACTCTTCAAGCATAGAAGTAGGGCATGGCAGACAAATGCACAGACAAACATGTTTCCAGCTGCAAATGACTTGTGCCAACATTTAAAACCTCATTCTCAAGGATTTTCAGGAACCTTTTGAGCCGGATGATGCTTGCCAGCCATA